GGTCAGTGTACTCAACATTCAGCTCAGTCAAAAGTTAAACCCCGGTGCAGGAAACCATGAACTGGAACAGGACCTCCTTTGCTCTACTTCAGTCGGAGGCAGATTCTCATTTATCTGAGTGCTTCCTTGATGTTAAGACGTTTTGTCCAAACAGTTTTTCTCAGTGTCTCCCCTCAACAAAAACCTAACCCCCTCTGTCTGTCTGCTATAAACACAAGGACACAGAGGTCATTTCACCCTGATGCCATTTACAAGTTTGCATGTTGCTCTCATTTGCATTTATAAAGAGATTTTGTGTCCTCTCCTTCAAGGCGAGCGCCTCTCCTCTTAGAGGAACTGTGGTGTGCGAGCCTCCCGCTCTGCCAGCAAGGAGGTTAGCACGAGTTCAAGGAGGTTGCCTCACGTCACAGGCAAAGTCTCACATTCCAGTCACATACACACCCATGAAAACCCTTTACACTTGACCACTGGGCGAACAAACGCAAACCCATCAACCCCAGAAAAATGTTTCAGCGCCATTTAATCTCCAAATGAAGGAGGCAAAGAGAGCGGTGGGGAAAGGAAGCGGCATAAAGGAGCATACTTTGAATTCAGACCTACTGTGCAGTTGAGGCTGGCAGTGTTCCCACATGCTCCTGACACTCTCAGTCCCAGTGCGACTCCCTCCTCCCTCTCCACTCCCCTCCTCCCCCATCTTCTCCTCCTCCACTGAGTCCTCCCCTTCCGGCGGCAGCAAAGACCTCCTGACTTCCTGTTTACCTCTGACCCTTGGTTATCCCCCGCCCCCGCCCTTATCTGGCAGGCCTCCAAACAGACAGGACGATCTGGCCGGATGAAACAGACAGAGCCCTTCAGAGGGAAAGAGCGAGAGCGAGAGCGAGAGAGAGAGAGAGAGAGAGAGAGAGAGAGAGAGAGAGAGAGAAGGATAGAGGGAGGGTAGGATGTGTGTGGATGTTGGGGGAGGTGATCATAGAAAGTGTGTGAAAAAGGCAGCCTGTCACCATGTGGTCACTGAAGCAGCAGGTTTCTCAGGGGTGTGACTGTGCAAAATGTTCTTGTGTTTGTGTGGGTGTCCCGAGTGTGTGGAGCACGAGGGTGGTGGGGTGATGCTCGGTGTTAGGTTTCCGGGCCGCTTATGGCATCGCCTGCCCGGTCTGCTCTGCTCGGGAGCCAGTTGCACAAACCCCTGCGAGGCCGGGAGGAAGCGGAGAGAAGCCACGTCGCACACTGAACCATTTCCCGACCCACGTCGACGCGCGCGCACATAGGTGAAGTTGTTTACTGGCAACACAACTCCGAGGCCAAGGTTGGGTAGAGAAAGCAGGCGGTCGGATAATAAATCTAAAGCAGTGATGCAGAAAGGCGGTGGGGAGGCACCTGCTCAGTGTCACTGCCGGGGGGGCTCTGGCAGCCACAGCGGGCCCAGCCATCAGTGTCCATCAGAGCCCATCAGCCTCCACTTCCATCTCTTTTCTGTTCAGCACAGCTGCCGCTAGCTTATAGCCGAGGCCTTTGCTGTGATGAGGAGTACAAACAGAAGAACGCAGCAGCAGGGCAAGGTTTTTTTGTTTTAAAGGTACGGAGCCATTTGTTAATACAACAAAGCCACACCGCACACTCATATGCCCTAACGACAGCAAACACAGGGGCAGATTTACCACAACAGGATGAGAGGCGAGCAGGCTGACATGACATCATGCGCTATTGTCTCTGCTTTTACCTCCGACACCGAAATCTGATTCGCTTTAAACACGACAACAACGAGGACGACAGTGAGGATGCGGGCAGCCACATTCCGAGCCCACTGCTGGAGGAATCCTGGGAGAAAGCGGTTGTTCTGTCCACGCGAGACACACACAGAGATGCGTTTTTACAGTAATTATTTTGCCTTCTTTTTTTAAAGTGCTCCGCTTGGAAAAGAAAGCTTCGGTCAGGGACGGCTTTGGTCAGGGAGGAGAAGCACCAGAAGTTCCACCATCTACAAACAGCTCAAAACTACAACTTTCTAAAAGGGTTTGAGATAGTTCGCGGGTGTGGCTTTTTACAATGTGCCACCTTGGCAGCGTGCTGCACAGTTAATGGTGTTTGCTTTACACCAGCCACGACTATGGATACTTCAGCATTCATTGGTGGATGAGATGTGGGAAAATGACATAAAAAAACAAGGCACGGTCAAAACAGAGTGGTCTTTTCTGCTGCCCCTTTTCTGGGCAGCTGTAGGCATGGCTCACTTGCCAGAAACCCCAGCAGATGGCTGTGTCCTGCAGGTTAGCCACCAACAACACAAACCAAGTTGAGGAAAATCCATTTAGCTGGAAATCCAAAGGCCAAACAGTAGGTCATATGTCACCTGCTTATGGAGAGTGTCCTCATGTGGATGTCCACCAAAGCTCTGCTTTGTTCCCCTCTCAAAGTTTGTTCAGAGTCATGTGGGAAACTCTTCTTCTACTGAATTCAAACCACTTGCAACGTGACCTATATCGCCACCCTCTGACACCAAGCAGCACAGTTCCTTTGATTTTGGGCCGTTTAAAGCAACAACCGTGATAACTTCAAATTGCTCACGAAACAGGTCTTGGAGTCCTAGGTTGCTTTTAACATCTTTTCTTACTCAGCATGACAACGATCAAAAATAGCAGCTGATGTGAGCTCAGAAGGGCAAATATCACCAATTCATTAAAAAAACAAAAAACACAAAACAAACCCCCCAAAAAAGTTTAATTGACGGGTGAAAAACTAACTCAAACATTTTGTTTTTCTTCTTTCGTAGGACAGTTTTAGACTCTCACTTGTGAGGGCTGAAAAACCAACGGCCTCCATCTCCATCTGCCTGAGGGGAAATGATTCAGTGGAGGCAGACAGTCATCGATTCAAATATTCAAATGAGCACACCACATACACGGCCCCCCCGATCAAATACAACGTGGGTATGATGCATTCCTCTGACACCAGACTGTTGAAGTGTGGAACTAATGAAGACGCTGAAAACCCTGCAAACTTAATTTTTCCACAAAAAGGAGTCGGTTTCTCCGATTTGCGACATTGTGAGCAACTGCCCGCAGGGGCAGTCCACACAAATTCAGCTTCATGATTCACTTTGTGGGCCACTTTGTGTTTGTCTGACTGTGCAGAGTTTTTGCCACACCACCGGTCTGAGATGCTGAAAACACAGACTCCAGACTGACTCCTGAATGTCGGGAATGCATTCAAACATTAAAAACTAGCACATAAGACTCTCGTTTGATTGCTTCATGTCAACTTAAAGCACGCTGAGGTTTACAAATATCCACATTCAAGCTGCTCGTCTTCGTGCATTCTGACCATTTTAAGGAGAACCTACTGCCACATGATTTAGTGCATGTTTTTACATCGTTTTATCGTCAGAATGCAGAAACTTAGAACAACTATTCACTGCTCATCACATCTGCAGCTGACCATTACAACCATTGGAAACCCCTAATTAGCCACATTCACTGCGGGGGAGGGAAGGGTGGGCTGCTGTACCCTGGTGCCTTGCCTGTTCAGCAAACACACTATCAGGAGGCTCTTCACACATCACTGCACATGAATAGCACAGTCAGCCTGTAAGCATCAACACAGGGCTGGATGTTGACACAGACGGGGAGAGGCTCGCTCATATGGCTGTGGCTCATGGCCCCAATTCGATCAAGGACCTTTGCAGATGAGCAAATGGCCAGCAGGAATGAGCCCTGGTTCAGGCAGATGACCAGCTCTGCCCGCTGCCTGCTAGGGAATAGCCGAGGTACAGAAAACACCTGTTGTGTTCCGGCTCCGGGACAGGCACATATACTTTGTTTAAACAGGTCCCTCCAGCTGATCGTATAAAGCCGTGGTCATCCATGTGTTTTGTTTTAGAAAGATTGGTTTGGCACAATAAAGCTTAACAATGCTTCAAAATATCTACTTCGTCAGCAAAAGGCCAGAGAATCTACAAGCTCACCACTTAATGGAAATATAAACGCTTGGCTTCGTCAAACTTGTACTCTCTTGGTCTTCTTTAGATTTTAATTCCTACAAAACAAGGATGTGATCCAAAAAAAGCAACAATGTGCCCCAAGTGAGTCATCATTAAGTGAGCGGAGCACCATGAAACATCTGCTGCTTGTGCCTCACGTCAGGAAGCTGCATGGATGCTGCTAAGTTACCAGCCAACTGAGGTCCAGGAACCGCCTGAAGCCTGTTACAGCCAGCTAATGCACTCTCTCAGCCTCCCCCTCCACTCGTATTCTCCCTCTCATGTGCTTCCTCACTGTCTCTTTCCCTCTTTTTCTTTCCTGTGCTCTCCTTTTTTTTTCCATGAGCTACCGCCCTCTCCATCTCACACCCCCCCTCCCCCTCTCTAAAGCGCTAACCACTCTTCTACACCAAGCTCTTCTCCTACGGCTCGCTCTCTCACACGTGCACCAGCACTCACGCACTAAGACACACAGAAACTGTGGCAGCAACCACAACAGTGTGCAACCTCCCCCACACTCCAGCGAGGCAGTGTGCAAGTGCCTCTGGCTTGCCCTGACCCACATCTTGATATAGCCCTAAGTATGCTTACAGCTAAGTCCTGAAGACACTCCTGCCACTCTTAGCCTAATCAGGCCTGACCTGCTGTCGGCGCAATGGGCAGATAGGCAGGCCCGGCTGGACTGACCATTATCATTTTCTGAAGGCTTTCTAACTGCCCGAGGTAGTGCCTGATATCCACCTTCCCCCATTCAACTCCTGTTTGCAGGTTTCCTTGCAGAGAAGCACATGTTCCACCAAGGATGGATAGACATTACAGGAGTTCTGTTCTATCTGTGCTCTAATATGGGGGGAGAAGATAATTTTATCTTATAATGGTAAATAATGTCCATTAGTAAACAGCTTTTTATGCAAGACATGCTAAAAATATGCGATAAAGCTCAAGAGTGCACAGGTTGCATGAGAATTTAGTCTGACAGAATTTCATCCGGCGATTTAGCAAAGCAACAAACATAGTGTTTTACCTTCTCATCCTCGTGTTCAGCAGATGCCGACTTCCCGCCCTCGTGTCTCTTCTCCCGGCCGGAATCAACCCAAGAGCAGTTGGAATCGTCCTGATGCCTGAAAGCATCCTCCAGCTGGGGCAGTAGGTCGGGCAAGAGGTCGGGAGCTTCCAGGCCCTCCAAGTCCCCGTCCTGGACCTCTGATGGCAGGAGGCCGTCCCCTAAAGCTTGGTATCCATTAGTGTTGATAGCCCCACAGCTAGGAGGCTGCTCAGAGGGCAGGTGGCCGTCGATGCTGGGATAGCAACTCATAGATTCGCCAAACATCTCTGAGGCCTTGCAGTTTCCCTGGGTTTCTCCCGAGCAGCGCAGGCCTTGAAAGGGAAACCCCTCTGCTGTTCGGCCGTGCAGCTGGCTCATGAGCGCTGGCGACTGAAACTGGCATGCTGTCCCTGATAGCTCAGGCACTGTAGAAGTGAGTGGGGCAGTAGTGGCGGGCCGCGATACAGAGGCTGAGGGTAAAGACTGCTGACTGAGACTGGGCATCTCCGACTCTCCGGGGTAGGCAGGGTACTGAGCTGGTTGGTAAGCGCCTGAGGAGCTGCCAGAGCATGTGGGCATGGAGTGGACAGCCGATGAAGAATGCATGGGGAATGACAGATTGGGGTTTTCCAGTCCTGCTGCTGATAAGGCTAGACCTCTCCTCACCAGCTGGTAGCTACCCTGCTGCTGCTGGGTTTGTAGGCAGGTCCCACTCAGAGGAGCACTGGGACTCTCCATGTAAGACTTACTTGGAAGAACCCTCGGATGGAACTGCGTCTCTCTGACGGTTAGTTGGTGCTGGACCTGTTGCTGAGGATGGTGGAGCTGCTGCTGGCTGCTGGCTCGCCCCCCCTGGTGAAAGGAGAAGTTCCGATGCTGCGGCAGGGAAACAGAGGGTGGGTTCATTTGTTGCTGCTGGTTCAACAGCTGCTGCTGATGGCTGTGCTGCTGCTGCAGCTGCTGCTGCTGTCGCAGCCTGTGCTGCTGCTCCTCTTGCGGATGGTGACAGGAGGGATGTTGCTGCTGTGTGAGTTGCCGCACGTGAAGTTGCTGGCTGTGCAGTTGCTGATGACACAGCTGCTGCTGTTGCTGATGCTGCTGCTGTTGAGGTAAGGGGTGGAACATGTTTCCATTCTGGTCATGGTTGCCCCACATTGGACTGCTACTGTTGCAGAACAGCCCGTTGGACTGAGGTACTTGGTTTATGGCGGCATTGTGGTACGGGCCATGCTGCTCTGCAAGCATGCCACCGCACGTACTCCGAGAAGTAGAGAACGCCTGTGCCATAGGACTCTGTAACTTAGTGGCAATGTAATGGCCCACTGGTTGGCTGTAACCAGGTATGGCTTGCTGAGCAGAGACAGGTGGCATCATGTCTTGGTGCTTACCCGGTCCAAGTGAACCCACTTGGAGGGGTTCAAATTCAGCACTGAGGTTAAGCTCATCCACAAGCGAGGGTGCTGAGGGGAATCCATCCTCGTCCAGCCCTTCCAAACCTCCAACAAAGAGGTTGGGGTCATCAAAGAAGTCCATGGCAAAGGCCAGGGGGGGATGAGAACCTCAGGAGCACCGCTGGATCCAAGCTGGTCCCTATTAGCCAGTGTACAGAGCTACAGCGTGTCCATTATAATGTGCCTGCCAAAAAGGAAAAAGAAAAAAATTATCAAAATATGTATGACATTTCTGTAAGTAAGTGAAGAATTTAACCCAACAATGAGTAAAAATCTGCACACAAACTACAAACTGCTCTTTCAGTGGAGACCTTAGCGCACAAACATAAATCATGTTCGGTCTGAGGTTACGCGATATTAAGTGCATTTCCGCATATATCCCCTTCCTCAAAAAAATTTGGTCCTATCAGAGATCCATCAGCCGTGCCTTTCATGTGTGCTGCAAAGCAGCTGGTGCAAACCAGCCACCAGCAGGTGCCTCTTCCTGTACCCCCACCCCTTTCGCACACAGATTTACACACAGGCACACATGCACAAACTAACACACACACACACACACACATGCACGCCATCCCCCCACCTCCACAACTACCAGAGCTGCCTGCCTTGCTACTGCACAACATGTGGGAGGTGCAGACAGCTGATAGAATTTCAACAGCAAAGGACACGGGCTGAAGAGGCCCTCTGAGTGCACGCATGCATGTGCTCTGCAACCACAGACCAGCGGAAGATCACAGAGGCTCTTCCAGGACAGTCACTCAATGCAGATCTGCACACAGAAACCAGATGAGAGACCTTCTTCGTGTGCTGACGGACAAATTCACGACTGAAAACAAACACATTTAAAATACTGTTGGAAAATGTATAGCCAGGGCAGTGAGCCCCTTAACGAATGGCACCGGGCTGAAATGGACATTTACTTTGGATCAATGCAAGATCAACAGTCGTGTGTCTCCTTTTTGTTTTGTTTTTTCAGACGGTTACCATAGGAGCTGCATTTGAAAGTGCAAATGTCAGACTCAGTTAGACCTGACATTCAGTGCAGTTCGACTAGAAACTGACTGAGCCCATGTGCTGGCAGAGACGGTAATGCACAAAAAAAAGAGAAAAAAATCACTGCAAACAAGCATTTGGGCTTATGACAAGGGATTGGCATAAAATAGCAGGAAAACAAATATTTGATGTTAGACGGGCTCAACCAGTGGAGCTCCCCGCAGCCTCTGGTTGGGACATTTTAACAAAGCTGCCCAGCCTGCAGGTATCCTCGAAGGCTGTGAGTCAGATGAACAACCGTTGAAGGCAAACTGCTGTGAGACCTTCTGACCGCAGTGCCTCCACAACCTGAACTAACAGACATCTTTGAAGCATTTAAAAAAATGTCTTATGTCTCAAGGGCTTAAAGGGAGTACTAAAGATCCTTCTCATATTCATTGAGATCTTCAATGGACAGAAAAAGATGCCCCTGGTCCCTGTTGTGCTGCTTCTCTGGTAATTCATGCACACCAGACAGGGCTGCTCAGCTCCACGTCAGCGTGCGTTTATACACGAGCCGGCATTGTGGAGTCATGCTCCCAGGGCACTTTCATACACGAGGCCAGCTGCTTGAAAAGCGCGTGTGAAAAGGCCTTTGGTCTGCGACCATGTTCAGCCAGGCGACATGAGTCAGCCTAGCATTCACATGAGTACCAGGAGCGAGTGTGGCTTCTGAATGGATGGGCTCCGGCCCGGGTGGAGCAGCGAGCCGCGGTGGGCCGGGACTGCTTCTGCTTTCAGCTATGTGGGTGTGCAAACTACAGCGCCCACAGGCCTCTACGAGACTTTCAGGTGTGTTTGACCATTCTGTGAGTCAAAGTGTTGTCCTGCCGCTGCTTACCAGGATTCCCCTCCAAAACCTGGCTGCAGCAGACAGTGAAAAGGCTCTCTGCGGCCAGCCGAGCACCTCTGAAACTTTAATTACTGCAGAGATGTTCACTTATCGTACTAAAACACATATCAGGCATGAATAACAACACTTAATCCTTTCATGAAGTCAAGAGGTTGGTGTAGATTATTTGCCGTCCAAGGCAAATGGAATTCTTTTCTTGGATATTCAAAACAATCCACTTCTTCAGTTCTAACTGGTGAGGGTGGGAGGAGGAGGAGGAGGAGGAGGGGGGAGGGGGGTCAGACTTAATAAGCTTTAAAGATAGCTTTAGAAGGTTCAGCCCCCACACTTTAGTGACCTGCCTTTACCTGTGAGGTGTTTTCCTAACTGGGAAACAGGCTAGAAGTCTTGGTCATAAAAGAGAAGGTGTGAATAGCTGTGAATCTGCCTGGGGAGCAGAGGAGAGGGATCAAGGCTGCGTTGGAAGAGCTGGCCGGCTGATGCCCGAGGCCACCCACTCTTTTTAAAGTTGTTGTTTCCAGGTAAACACAAACTGAGCGCCACAGAGCTCAACCCCTGTCAGCGAGAGAGACGAAGACTGATCTGCTTGTGTTTGAGTGATTTATCCTTTCGGTGAACCCCTTTTTGTTTGAGGTACGGTAAGATTTGGAGCGCACTAACTTCTAAGACCCAGAAGACTGACGCAAGCTCTCACAGAAGTGAAGCATCTCTGAGAACCAGTTGTCACCTGTCAACACTCTGTTACAGACTCACAACGCTGCCTACACTGCCACTGAGCTCTCATTCACGTTCCATGAAGGAATAATTAACATCAGATTATTTTATGAGCCGGTGTTGATTACCCTGAACAGGCATTTAGCTAGTTCCATCTCACTGGTGCAGAGGGAGAGTTGTCTTATAGCAAAGTCCTGCCCGTAGCGGAACATCCTCCAACTGCTTTATGCAATCCCTGATTAGCTGTTAATACTGACCAACCCCCAAATAAAAATGTTTAAAAAGTATGCTAACTTTGTCAAGATTTCTTTACATATGACAAACAATAACACAATGCCAATGTAATATAGAATTTAAAAAACTTTTTTTTTTTTTTTGCACCAAATATAACTCTTTTTTTTCTTTTTTTTAAATGGTCAGTTACCATGAGACTACTTTTTTATTACACCATTTTTTTTTTGCACCAAATATAACCCTTATCTTTTTTTTTTCTTCTTTTTTTTTGGTCAGTTACCATAAGACAACAGACTGGTGGGCCGGAGCCCCCCCACTAGGGGCTTTTTGACAAAAGAGGTGCCAGTGCCGTCTGGTGTTGTTTCTGACTAAGAATAGCCAAACAGCCACATCACAGCGGTGCTATTAGGCCCCTTTAAATGTCTGTCTTCTGACGCGTGTTCGGCCCCTGCATTAGTTCATTACAAACATCTGTCGATGACCCCGGTGAAAGGGAGACGGTTCAATTTCACCAAAACAACAGACACAACAGTGTGTCTTACTGCCCTGCAAACGGCTGCCGTAATATCTCAGTGCAGGTTTCAAACGCCGCCTCCAACAACAGGTTGTGTTTGCGAGCGCTCGACCGATGTTTATGAGCAGTGCTGCAAATGGGATTTAGCCACAGCATTACATGCCGGCTTTTTCGAAAAGCACCAACATTGGTAATAGATGCAGCTGCAGACTGATGTGACGCGCGATGGGCAGCGCTGACGGATGCGGCTGTCAACAAAAACGTGTAACTGCTGGAAAAGGAGAGGAACGCCGAGCCCGTGTGGTAGCTCGGCTCCCGCTTTTTCTCTGCAATTAAGAAGAGTAAATAATGAATGCCGTTCGGTATTTGAAACATGGCAGCCATAAGGTTTTAGGGGGCCTGATTGATCTCCAAACGGCCACCCCCAGCCCCCCAGGTACGCGGCTCTTTACCGGCTTCTAACCAGCAATTTGGTGCCCCTGAAGGCACCTAATCCCGCCCCCCTCCCACTAACCAAATGGCAGCTTACTTCTGTGAGTCACAGGGCATTCATTCAGACATACCTCGCCACAGTGAAAGGGAGATGCTCTTGCCATGTTTGCCTCTTGTGCGAGTCGTGCTTTGGATGCATATCATGCTGCAGTGACATTTCATGTTGGACTGACAGGCCGGTGGTGGTGTTGAGGAACAGATTATATTTACTCAGGATGGCTTCACTGCGGCTTCCAAGTTTCCCTCCGACGTGGTTTTACCTACGACGACTACCTTCAGAACAGAGTCCTGAGCAAAAAGAAGAAAACTGCGCTTTTGAGACTTCCTCTTTCTGTCTGACTATATCATTATTTTCAGCCGCTCCCACCACCATCCCAAACTGACAGAGTGTTGTCAAGCTTTGCAGGTGTTTCACTTTAAACTGCAAGAAAACCAACTCTAAAAGCCCTTCCAGGATTTTGACTTGTGGCCTCTCCTCCACTTGGGCGATCATACATTAACACTTCTGAACGCTTGCTGCTCAGTTCGCTCACAGAAAGCAGCTTCCTTCTGCCGCACACCGCCAATTTGATTAAACTAGAACCGTGTTACACCTCCCTCCACGTACTGTCCGATCTCTTGTGAATGGGGAAATATTCCACACACACAGACTCAGTCACTTTCTAGTACATGTCTGAAAGAGGCAATGCGGAAAAGCTTTTGAGTGTGCTCGCTTTAAACAGACTGATAAGGCCTTTAATGTTGTTCATCTCTTATCTAAAGAGTGACTAAGACTGCCTTGGAGACTTTTACAGAAATGTGAGGAGATTGGCTTCTCTGACGTGGGCTGACACATTCAGGCGCTGTCCCAGTCATAAAAGGCCGCACATCTGGCAGGCACTCTATTTCCTTTGGTAGAATGTTGCCATCAATCTCGAATGGCAGGACAGTTCACTTTTAAAACAAATCTCTACAACCGACGCCCACACAGAAAGATAGAAAACACCTAATTAAGTCACCCTTTTTAAATCGCCGTATTTCCTGCAAGAGTTTGCTGGCACACCAGCAGGCTGCAGATCACCCCAGCCAGTGAGAACCAGTATAAATCTACTCACAGAGGCATGAAGCCATTCCTGTTTTCAGTCTGGGTGCAGTCCTCCCAACTTGAGGCCTACTCCACCGTCTTATTGAGCTTCAGAGGAAAGAACGGTGCAGAAATGTTGTATTTTCTAAGGCTTCATTCTGGTGGAAGATTCTTTAGGTTTTTCCCTCCCAACATGGTGCTGATAATGAAAGTTAATGAGCAAAACCAGAAGACATATGAAACCAACAACAACAGTAACACTTAATACATGTGAGAAAGTCTGACATTTCAGACTGGTGGATATAGTCCCTTACTGTCCCTCAAGCCAATAGCAAGAGCCCTTTTAAAGCTAAAGACTACAGCATTTGACTAGCAGACAACTGGCGCTGAAATAGCATTAAAAAACATAATATTGGGAAAAAGGTTTACGCCAGCTCGTTAAAACTAAGATACATCGATAGATCATATTTCTCATGAGCTCAACAAATTCTCCAGTCAGCTCAGCCGCTGCTAACTTTAAACACATCCCGGCTGGCCCCGAGGCACAGACCCTCTTCCTCTTCCCAGCTGTTTCCTTCATATTCGTGACGTTGTGAGCCACATACGAGCACGTGCAGCTCGTGTATATCAACAAAAAAAAAAAAAAAAAATGGAAGTGTGACCCGATACGACCTGCGACTCTTTGCACGACAGAGGCCAGTTCAGCGCACCGCATTCAAACGGCGTCGACCCGGTTCATTTGCGACACTGGCCCTCTAATCCCGGTCTTAACGTGCGCAAAGCTAGCCAGTTAGTGGAGATTTAAAGTAAGCGCGTGCGGGGCCGGAAAAACGCCTTCCCAATTGGACACTTCCGAGTTTTGACGTTGTTAAAATTAGCGCCCCTCACCGCTTCGCCTTTCCGAAAACTTATGAGGGGGGGGGGGGGGGACGTCCCGCTGAGGTGAAACAGACAGACCTGTAGTCTGGGGCGGCCAGCAGCATCCTCCTCATCTTCCTCGGAGAAATGGCTTCAGCTCCCCGCGAGCGCTGCGTTTGAGGGGGGCAGCAATTTGTTGCGCTACTTTAAGCACCAACTAACTGTCCGCCAGGCAGGAGGAAAAACGCACGCACGTGGACTTTTAGCTGGAACATTTTTTAAACTATTAGCCCCCCCCTCGGGGGGGTGGGGGGGGGGGGGGGGGCGCACGTGGTCCGAGCCAAACCTTCACTTAGGATTCAAAAAGGTGTCGTGACGTTTCTCACTGCTGGAGAGAGGAGGGGGGAGGAGGAGAAGGAAGGAGGAGGAGGAGGAGGCCGGAGATGGATGGAGAGGTCGTCAGTGATGGTGTCGGTGATAATAACTTACTAATTCGCCACCCTCGACGAACTTTCGTTTTCGTCGTCGGCGAAAGAAGCCACCGACCGGGTTGGGGTCGTGCTCGCGGGTGACGAGTCCCGATTCCGGGGGAGGGGGTTCCGGCCGAGCCCGCTCGGTCGCTGTCAGTTCAGGACCACCATGACCAAAGACCCACCGCCGGGGGTCTACTTTCCAGCCATTCCGACCATTGCTCCGGCGAGGAACTCCGACGAGAACGGCCGCGCGGTCCCACTTGACGGACACTCTCGAGAACAAGTGTTTTAAGTTTGGCAACTTAGCAGTGTCGCTTGAAGCGAGCCGATAAGGCGCTCAGCCCGTGGCGGTGTGTCATCAGACAGCTGAGTCGACCCTCACTCACGGACTGTCCGATATTTGACAGCTCCGACCCCCTTTGCGTGGAGACGGCTCCCTTCGAGCGCCCAACCGATAACGCCGAAACGAGCGAGAGAGAGAGAGAGAAGTGCGAATTTCTTACCCGAAACCGGCCACGAAGCGCAACTCCAGGCGTCAGTTCAGGCAAGAGTGTTATCGGGCGAAGTTGTGGCTGTGTTGTTGGTTGTACTCCTGCTGGCGACCACGGCGCAGCGGCTCTGCTGCTGCTGCTGACGTGACTGTGATAAGGGCGCATTTGCATATTAGTGAGGCCCTCTGTGATTGGACGCGCGACAATCCGCCGAAGAGCGAGTGCCCGGTGAAAAATTAACCAGCCGGCCCCCCGGGACGAGCACCCAGCCGACTTTCTCGTCCCGACCCGTCGCGGGAAGCGACCGGTCAGGTGTCGGAAGGCTTTATAAAGTCGGTGTGTTCGCGGAGTGCATAAGATGGCCGCGTCCGAGTCCCGGCCAATCCGGGGAGGTTTTACTTTCGCACATGGACCGGAGTCGCTCCCCGGGGCGAACGTGACAGCAGTTGGGAGAGGCGCGCCGCTCCGTGGGTGCATATCGACCTCTGCTGGCTTAAATAGGTCGCCATTCCGTTTCATTTAGCCCCTTCTGTAAAGCGGAGATGTCATGGCAGCTTTATACAATATGGCACTTGTTTTCAGGACAGCAGACTCGGACTTAAAATCAGTGTAAACTCCGAGAATTAACTCAGTCACCGTGGGATTCCTCTCAAGTCCAGTTCATTGACAAGGGTGCATTCGCCACAGTATAGTTCACCTGCATCCATTTCTTTAAAAAAAACATTTAAGTTAAAGTCAGATTTTCTGAAAAGAAATCCTCACTGCACACATTTCACCCCATTAAAGTTTCTTGAAAAGTAAAAAGAATGCAGCCAACAATAGACATTTTAGAATAATTTTATTGGTTTCAGAGTAAAGCATTTCATTCTCAGCAGAAATGGTTTCAAACAGAACACGTCACACGTCGGAAGACGGCTGCAGCCCGTATGATTGTGGAGTGGCGTACACCTGTCATGGCATGTATGAGTCAGGTCTCAGCACCACATCCTCTATTCCTACATCCCACATCATTTTAAGCAGTCCTTCAACAACAGTCGCAAACTGGAGGAGGATGAGCAATATGACTAGAAAAACCAGATGCCTCTGCAGGAGAGTACACCGAGTCCACATGGACATAAATCTGGAATGAAAACCAGAACTGTAGTATTTGAAATCATTTCTATCATGACCGTCTTTTTTGTGCTGCTCATAATAGTGAATAACTAAACCTTATGAAAATACTGTACATTTATCATTTTCCCTCTGATATAAGGTGTATCCTGCAGCAACCTCTGACTTGTGAGCCTAAGTGAAGAAAAACCAAGACATATGTTCACACAAATCAAAGGATCAATGAGGATGTGACACTTGTGGCCTTAGCACAGCACCCATTATTTACAGACCTTTAATAACCAAAAGGAACATAAAGCAGTCAAAATTATTTAAAAATAAACTTATGTAGCGCCTATTTAAAACCATACATCCCAGCTTTACTTATATTATGAACTATGCAAAAGTGTTTACTCAGCATAGATAAAAATAATTCATTCTCATAAGAAATATAAAACACGTTAACTTAAGTAAGAATTGAAAGAGGGCGTGAATAACAGATGCAAGTGAAAACATGACACATCTGACATATAAACAGTTATTAGCCAATTCAAACACATTGTACTGATCATGCACTCCATTATACTCACTGTGTGGATAAAAAGTGCTTTGCTCGTACTTTTAATTTCCATTCGGGGCTGACATTATCGTCTATCAAAACGGGCATAAGCCCAGACAAAACATGAGAATGCACTTTGATTGCATCACAGCCTAAATGATGTTGCAGGGACATCCATTTGTCATTGTCAATTTACATATGATACAAACTAAGTTTACTTATTCTAAATGTGCGCCAAGAGGTGCCTACAAAGCTTTTAAAGCTTAACAATAGAGTGGAGAGTTAATGCAAAGTTATCCCAACTGTTAAAAGGATTCACTTCACACAGAGCTGAGCCACGCCAGCAGTGAGGCTTGTGTCTCCCTCTAGTGTCTGCTGCCTGGCAGTGCACGTTCAGCTCTGAGGAGGGTTGTCCTCTTTGCTGAAGGGCTGGGTAGATCCAGGCTTCACCCAAGATAACCCCGACACCTGCGTTCCCTTGTGGTGTTCTTCAGGGCGTCTCTAAGGCGACAAAGGAAAAAAATCTTGCAGTTTCGTAACAAAACAGCCAAACTAATCATATGCCGGCAACCTTGACTCTGGTTTAATCAAGCTTTAAGTGCAGACAATTGCACAACCCAGCTAATTCCGATAAACATTTCCTGGTTTAATGGCACTCACTTTGTATGCAAACATTTTCTCTTTTGCTTCGTCGTGGACTGCTGGGTTCCATGGAGAAAAACTGAAACAAATGGAAAAGAAGCCTGTGAGTTTGACTCTTGTTTTCCCTGCAGGGCTGTCTGTCTCAAACACATTGTGTTTTTTTTTATGTAGTGAACACTGGAATGTCAAAAAGGGAGACCTTTCACCAACCTTATTGCATAAGGATCCTCAATCTTGGGCTGGTCAAAGAGATGACTGTTGCATAGTCTCACACTGTCCACCACTTTGCTCTTGAACAACTGCACATCCCTTTCATAGCTGAAAAGTTAAAAAAAAATTATAGTGATCCTCAGGATATTAAAGAAATGACAGTTTCCTGAGATCTCCTTTCTGAATTACACCCACTTCAGTCCCATTATACACAAAGACTGTTTAATAATAGGCCTTTATCACATCAGCAACTTTAAATAGTAGCAAAAGAAAAATTATCGGACATTAAATATACTGAGATAAACCCGTGGAAAGAAGGCAGAGAAACTTACAGCACAGCAGCCTCTGGGTTTAGCGGCTCCGTCGTGCTGATCTTGTAAAAAACTGTACGTGCGTACATCAGGACTTGCCAGATATGGTTGTGATTCCGTCTACAAGAAAGGGCATTAATTACTTTTGCAAAACAGAAACCTTGCCATGAATGGAGCCCAGAGTTTTTCCTGCCATGCTTTAGGACCATTTTTGAATTAGCTGCTAATTTTAGATCGTGACACCTGGTGTGTCTTACTTAATGATAGCTGTGCCAGGAGTCCAGTAGGATACATGACATTTTATATAAATCTGAAAGTACATTTTTCAAGCGAAAATCTAACAAACAGTTCTGCCATGGAGAACCCAACAATAACATAAGCAAAAAAGACAGAGTACATATCAGAGTGCATGATGAGCAACTTGTATCATTTTCTGCAGGGTCAGACATAATCTGGCAAGAGGAAAGTAAACCATGTAATATAATGCACTATCCTCACAGCACGTCCTGGCAGTTAAAAAGGATTTCTATCCTACCTCCATTTGGTGAAAGCTCTTCTGACGTCCAGTTCTCCAGACACAGGGTCAACAAGTGGATGGAAGACTGGAATATCAAATACTAATTTCTGCAAAGAAGCACAAGGTAGTGATTGAAACACTCATTTCAACTTTTTCTAACCATCAAAATGATTAAATAAATGTGTATTTCAGTAATTAAACAGCAAAAAGACTGAAAGGTTTAGAGTAACGCACTCAAAAGACTAAAGCTTACCGGACATTCTCCATCTGGGTAGTTGTCTGGAATATAAACGGTGAATTTGAAGACACCGTCCTGGTATAAACCATGTCTGATGAATATAACTCCAAACCACACTACAAAACATGGAAGACATTGAACATCTTAATCGTCTTTAGCATCAATTCCAGCAGACACAATGCTGAACATGACAGAAAACACACCAAAGTTTTAGTAACTATGGCTTCATTATTCAGCTAAATTGTTTCTCAACGTCTATGATTTAAGACTACAAAGAAGAGAGAGACATCTAAAAGTATCATTTTAGTTGTGCATTTATTTATTTTAACCAGTTCATGTATGAAACTGAACTCGAGAAAAGAGTCCTTACTTAATGCCGACTTGTAGGATGGCTGTACATAAATTCCAGGAAGTTTCTGCTTAATCACCAGTGTGCTGCAGGTCACATGGAGAGAGGTTGGATCGATATTGGAGAAAGACAAGAAAAGAATGTTCTGTATCCAGTTTAATCCAGAATCTAGATGGATTGGTAGCACCAAATGTCCCATTATTTAAAGACGCACCAAATTTAGAGTTCCGATTCTGGACCAATACTTACAACTCAGCCAGCAGAGAGTACTCCAAATAAAAAGGACCGTAGGAGGCGTGAGTCCCGTTGGCCGACTGAGCTGGAGTGCCCATTGATGTAGGTTTAGTAATAGGGGCTGCATTCTTAGGAATGGGTGGAAGCTGTTTTTTGCCAAATGGAAGCCGGGCTGGGCTGGCTCTCTGCTCCCCGTGCCCACTCTGCTCCTCATCAGATCTCTGCTGGTAAACAGGGAATATGACCAGCGTCACAACATGGACCGGCAAAAATCATTAACAGGAGGGGAAAAACAAATCCAACGCAAGGACAGACTTTGAACTAGATTTAAAGTGAGGGTCACTGAGAAGAGCCGAACTGCACTGTGCCGGTACAAGTGGAACATAGGATATAACTAAACACTAAAAACACTGCTGATGATGACTGGAGGAATTTCAGGAATGCCCACAATGAACGTTGTACCGACAAAACAGGTGGGGCCTGCATCTTCTGCATCAGACTACAAAAATGTTCCCTGACGAAGCCAAAACAAAGTAACACCAATGTTTAAAGTGGAATGTTTACTGCTTCGCTCACACACAAAAATGTGCCCCTTCCTTGCTAGAGAAATCCTGCAGAACACAATTTCATACTGAACCACTAGTTGTATAATTATCTTTGCTATTTAGTCATAGCTCTAAACGCACTATGAACTTCATCCACAAAAATTGGGAAACTATGACGATGCAGCCAAGCCTTCCTGTTTTGTAGAAGAGAATCTCCCAAATGCAATAATTCAATTAGTTTATTCTCCCTAACCGGCTTTGAATAAACATCATTCAAGACTTACTGAACTTCACCTGACACACACAACATAACTATTTTTTACATTTATTTTTTACAATGGTGATCAGATTTTTACATTTAAGAAAAAGTGTTAAAAGTATATAGATGTCCACCTTTCATCATATGACATATACATAGCTAAATACATGTTGAATAGGGCATCATGTTTTGCTGTGTAAATTTCACACAAACTCTAATTCAGGTTAAGTCTGTCAATTTTTACCTTGCGACTTGTGTTGGCAGACATGCTCCAAAAGGGGTTTAAGTTCATTCCTCATTCATAGGATCAGATTGGTGTCCCTGGTGCATAAGCAGGTCCAACAACGAGTACCTTACGGGCCATCAGCTGCTGCTTTGGGGAGATGACGCGTTCATTTACTGCTGCTAAAACTGAGGTCACACAATAACATACGACAACATGGTCATAAAACAATGCTGTATTATGTATTATTTGAAAGTCTAGTTATACATCGATAAAACATGCACGTTGACAAAACCTTTTTTGTAGCTGGCACACCAGAATATGACGTATTCTATAACTTGTGTGGAATCTTCTGATGGGATGGTTCGTTTGGAATAGCTTAGCTTCGTGCTAACTTAACCGTATCATTAAGTATTCGAGTTTCTATAGTAACAGGCATTCAAAAAAAATGAACAAGATAATGCGTCTTTACAGGGTGAAGACTGAACGGAAAATAATGTTCCATCAACGCTGTGATATTTGTGATAGGACAGGGAGTTATCGTGTTTTTCGCCACAGCCCAGACGTCGCAGCGCTGCGTTAGCAAACATTATTGACGTGGATTTGGCAAAAATAAACTAAATAAATTCTACCTGACAGCGAAACGTCTAGCTAAATATGACTTCAACGTATACAACTAACTAAGTTAACGTCCACACAATAACAACCTGTGATATCATTTATTTGTTTTACTTGGTTCACTTAACGTTATCTATAGCATTAGCTAGAAGCTACTTTTGACGTTGCTAACTTGACTGTTTCTTTAATTCCAGGTTCCCGTTCGTGTGAAAGTTACTGATGGAACTCACCGTATTGGCTTGAGATTTATTAAAGATCCTTTTAACGGAGACTGTTAACGTATTTTACCATCAATTTTGGCAGAACTTGCTCAGCGGCTTGACACTGCTTTATGTGACATAGCAGCTAGCTGGCTAATGTTGGCTAACTAAGTAATATGACAGGGGCACAGAAGCAGAGTTCAATCTAGCTTAATGAGGGGCGTTTTTATTGAACCAGCACAGATTCTCATTGGTCGATGAGCGGAAACGTTGTCGCAGTTGGTTTGCTAGTGCTGCTGTCACCTAAACAAGAAATGTGAGTTTAAAGAGAAACAGCTATGGAACCGTGGCTTGCTCCCCCTCAAACGGAGACCATCCAAACCAGATAAATTAATAATGTGGCCTTTAATTTCAACAGAAGCACATTGCATCCACTGAAAATATCTAGTAATTACGAAAAAAAAATACAACATCCTGATCTCGTAATTATGAGATATTTTCTCTTAATTACGGCATCCTAGCATAACAACAATAACAACAACTCAAGCATGCATGTCAGCCATGTGAGCTTTTCCACGGTAACGGCATCATACGAAAAAAAAAAGGAACAAAGTCACAGTTGTAACTAGAAAATTTCTGAAGAAATTTTGGAGGGGGGCCACCCGCTGCCCGTCCGGGAACCCGGGGCGGGTCGGCCAATCCATATTTGGGCTCTCTGTAATGTGGGCTCGCGCCTATGAGAGGGCCTGAGGTGATGGAGGGACCCGGCTGAGCTCTGGGGCCCGCTGACGTTGGCTGAAAGCTGAGAATCAATTCCTCTTGTGGCCCTGTGGACAATGGAGGCAGCTCCTGCTCTCAGCCCATCTTCAGTCAGAAGCACTCTGACATTTTGGTTTACTTAATCACATCCTACCTTACTAAGTGTTGTTTCACCCACCGGACTGCCCTGCAGGAGGATGGACATCAGATCCCAGCTGATCCAGAGTTGATCCAAAGAGGCAGTCATGTTTGAACACTGCTGGATTTACTACCGAGTACTACTCATTACTAACACCTTATTACTGAAAGTTACACTAACTTCCATTCAAATCCTATTAAGGAGGGTTGTGAAAGTCTGGACTCTGGGCCCGATTGCCGGAAAACCGTAAGGCCGAGGTCCAAAGCGGGCACATCGGGCGAAAGAGAACAGCCGCGGCTACGTTTTGAGGCCATTTTGGCGCCGCTCGGCCCCACGGTTCGGTCGTGAGGGGCAATAGTTTGACTTTTTTTAGGTGAACGCCTCTCAGAGGCTTTAACGAGCATAGTTAGAGTGAGGGGAAAATTCTAAGATTTTGTGATTTTCACTAAAACGTCAACAGCGATTGCGGGCAAACGGTGGGGCAAACGGTGCGAGATCTGGCCTCGTGGCTCCGATATTGCGGAGGCCCGTCTTTCGTGTCCCGTTCAATGTTCGAACGACGTCTCTCGGACGTCGTGGGCCAGAGCGATGAGGCCCTTACGGGCCTCATCTTTCGGGCATGTTTAGGGCCCGTTTGTCGGCGTCTCCCATGCATTTCCTATGGCAAATGTCGAGTCAGCATTTTTTCGGTTTTTTGGCGTTTATTCGAAAACGCCTGGTCCTTTGAGAAAGTTTTTAACAAGCACGCATCCCGTGGTCGGGCCGGACGCGCGTGCCAGTTTTGGGCCCGATCCGCGGAACCGTGCGGGACGAGTAACGCGCCGAAATTCGTGACGGAGTAAGGAGAACGATAATAATAAGCCACAGAATAAATATGACGAAGAGTAATACGTGGGCCTTGCCTGCGGCAAGGCCCACCTCGGTGGGCCCTTAAGGGCCACCGAGGTGGGCCATGCCGCAGGCGTGGCCCCCCTAAATATATGTCATAAATAACGTTTCTATTTACTTAGACTTATAGACATATGAATTTACCTCTTCGCAGGAAGCTGAAGTTGGCTTGAGTCTGCTCACTCAAAACCTCCAAAAAACCTACACTGCACAAATCTGGATGGAAATATTTTGAATAGGCTGTAGATTGATTTTAAAAACTTGTCGGGGATTTGTGAAATAATGTTTTGATGGGTGAAAATGAAAGACAGGAGCGCTTTACTGCTTTTATTGCATTATGTTGAATTTAGTTCTAACCAAAATCCCTCTTTTGAACACTAATGGTAGATTGCAAATTTGAAGAAATCAATAACTACTACTTACATTTACTGTGATTTTATGTTATAATTTGAGCGAAAATAAATGAATAGACTAATTAAATAAAAAAAACTGTGAAATTACAGCATAATGTGTTCAGTTCTGTTATCAGATGGAAATAAAGAAGGAAACACTGTTTGGGGTAGAATGTATGAGAACCTCAGAACAGTTTTCATGAACACAAAAACACACACTTCCCTAATGTCTCAATGTTCCAGTGTACTGAACAAAGTCCCTTGAGGTTCAGATGCATCCAAGCCATCTGTGTCACACTTTATTTTTTTAGTTCTGACCACGCTTCATTGGCAGTTCATTTCGTTGATTGATTGATTTCCTAACAATTAGCCCTAATTATTTTTTTTGTGAGTACAAAAAGAAAACTAATTTAATGCATGGGTGAGTGCACTAATTGGGAGAAATGACATTGTCCAAGTTTCAGAGTAAATACAAATTATTGACTCCATTATTGTTATCTGATTGTATATTGTCCCAAGTACACATCACTGACAAAGGTAATTAGAGTCCTGCTTCTTTATTAGGGCAGCCAACAACACAAGGTCACCATCGCTGTTTTGACACTTACAAATCAAACACCACCTCAGAACAAATAAGTTTTATGCCTGCTTTGCCTTCATCGACATTGAGATGAACCGCATGACCCAAACAAGGGTGCAAGTATCCACTCAAGTGCGTCTGTAATGAGTTTATTTTTGTCTTTGCCATTGATTTTTCATCTAATCAATTATTGTGACCCTGTTCAGTCAAACAAATATGCTAATGAACGTAATTAAAGTGTGGAGATTGCATTGCTTAAATTAATATTTGACCTGTTTAAGCTTGATTTGCTTTTATATTAGAAAGTTTAACAACATAAGTGATACATAAAAAGTATATTTCTTTTCAGTTTTACATTTTCTTTCTTGTTTTATTGAATCAAATGAGATCCTTATTTGATTTTAATTTCAGTGCTTTCTGCATAGAGAGAGCATTTGAAATCTTCAGATCTCTTTTACATCTTTTATACTTCATTTGCCATCACACTGATATAATGGGACATTTATAAGTGTATTGTTGTTCTCCTTTGAAATATTTCTACACATATATACGTACATATTTTAGAAGGACTTATGGCTGCTCAGCCACAGCTGGTGCCAGAATCCAAATTTGAGATGAAAGATGTTCCCTTCTGTTGGTCCATTTCTTCAGAGAATTTTATACTCGCTGATTTAGATCTACAATTTGGTTTAAATGACAGTAAAAAATTACAATTGGCACTCCCGGGTGAAACCTGTCTTGACAGCACGTAGATATAAAATAAGTGAAAACAGATGACTCCATGGCCAAATAATATGTCGTAACGATGTTAGTTTGAATAAAGAAAGCCAAATCTAGATTCAAATGTAATATTCATTTTAGGAATATGAACAACAAGGGAATAAAGGTAAAAAAAAAAAAAGAAACGGCTAAAGCCTTCATATAGCAATAGTCTATTCTTATCCCTGAGGCTATGGCCTGGCTAACACCTCTGTGCAGCAATTATTTGCTGTAATGACTGCAGTTCGAATAAGCCTGGAGATTTTATTAAACTAAATGAGAGAATCATCGGTGTATTATCACAGTGTGATTGACAGTGACAAGTGTTGGGCAGACTCGGATGTGAGCATGATGAAGAAGCTCTCGGCAAAGCTCTTGATAATGTTACCCCCTGATAAAGTTGCCTGGAAAACCTCAGCCAACACACAGAGAAGGAAAGCTCTTCGCATATTAATTCCAATTGTCAGATCCCTCCATTGGAGGAGGAAAAGAAGGAGGGGGGGGCGTGTCTGGAAGGCACTCCTGCTGCCCCTCTGTTCACTGACTGGGATTTTACACAACTAATGAAAAAGAAATCCATTGTGCTGATCATATGCATAGATTTCACTCCATAATAATGATGAAATAGAAATTTTCATAATAAAAGTAAAGGTCACTCGCTGCTGGTGCTAAGCTTCCTAAGCTGCAACCTTTGCGAGAGCAGTTGTCAGGTTCTAGCAATAGGGTAGAAAAAACAGAGCGACGTCAGGTTTTAACCCTCACAGATGTCAAAAGGTGAGACACTGTGGCCAAGCTAGTCGACTGTATAGGTCATATGTTCATCTTCTCAAACACCACAGAGTGTCTTGCAGTGTGGATCCAAATGTCCCCTCAGCGGCAGGTAAAGAGGGTTGGAGGTCAGTGGCTCTGTTGTGATTTACATAGCTCTCTCTGGCATTCATATTCATAGCCAGTGAATACATTGCTCAAGGATTTGTCTAGTCTAGTTAATAAAATACTGGGAGATATGAACATCCGCTTCCACTCTCTTCAGCATTCCTCTATATGTAGGTCACACGGGCTTCTTCAGGTATATGAGCCGTGGAGCATAGGGGTAGAGAGCGTTATGTCTCACCTCTGAAGGACATTCACAACATTATTATTGCACGCTGTGACTTCCACGCTGAGCCTCGTCTTCATATGCATCATACATTGGCATTTATTAGTGCCTTGCACTAAGAACAGGCCATGTTATTGAATTTGAATATCAGCTCCAAGCCACATTCACAGGCACTGGAGATATATTATATTAAGATGACGCAATCTCATTTAATAACACCCAAACTAATAAAAGGAGAGCAGATTGGAAATTAAATTTATGAGTATTGCTTGGCGACAGGAGTGATCCAAAGAAGCCCGGCTTGGTCTGTCATATGCAGATATTTCTGTAGTTATAAGCAAGTGTTGGTAAAATGTCTGACTTTCCCCTCATGTGGAACATATTGAGGAGGCAGCTGGTATGTTTGTATTCATTTAAAAGACGAGAGCTTTGTTTTGGACTAGCTTCACCTAATTGTACAGGAAACATTTGACTTGGAGTCATTTTAAGGGTCACAATGGACAGGAAGCAAAGAACAGGATGCAGTATGAAGAGACTGTAATAAAAGTGCTTCGGTTTAGTTTTGTTCATGTGAGCTCACACTTTGTTATGGATAAGTACTAAAG